CTGTGTTCAGGGCGATAGTCGGCAGGGAGAGTGCATGGAAGGCGTTCTCCTCCTTCTGCGAACGGGTGATGTCGCAGAAGGAGGAGGCAGAAAGGACGAGAGAGCGGGCCCCGGGTGGCCGTGACCCTCCTCCATCGCCCTCGGGCGGCGAAGGCGACGAAGGGGGGAGGGGGGAGATGGGCGAGATAATGGTGTTGGGGGACAACGCGGGCGCCGGCTTCAGCCGGGTCGCTCGCGCCCCGGGCCGCTCGCACATACTCGCCGCCGAGACCGCCCCACGTGGCGAGAACGGCGGCGACCTCCTCTCCCTATAATGGAAGAGACAGAGGAGGAGAACGATGGAGACGTGCGAGAGGGGGCAGGGGCCACCCGCACCCCCACCCCCACTATCACTGACGGCCCCGCGTGTCGGACGCGGGGCGCAGTGACGCGGCGGCGGACTGCCGACCCCAGGGTCGCACCGCCGCCGGATAATAGATGACCCCCCTGCGCGCGGGGTGTAATGGCTCATCATCCCCCGGCCGCGTCGAATGCGCGCCCGGACCGGTAGCTCTGCATCGCCGCGCGCGGAAGGTGCGCCGCGAGAGTCTCTTGCCGCCAAGGCATGAGGGGTGTCAAACTCTCAAGATTGGCGCCCCTTGGGGGACTGGGGATCCTGGCGGGGGCCGGGATCTCCAACTTCCGCCCTCCAACAACAAACGGGGCGGCGGGCGCGGGGGTTGTCCCCCCTAACGCCCGAATGGGGCAGTCAGTGCCTTGCAACGTCCGGGTTCGTCTCTGACGAAACCCCGGGCGGGAAAGAATATCGGCCAAACAAAGCCGACTGGCCATAGGGACTCCCAGAAGTATGCTGCACGCGTTCCTAGGAGCCCCTCAACTATGGCCTGGTAAGGACACCCGGAGGGGTTTTAGTGGATGCAAACCCCACATAATCCCGAGCTCTCCCCCCGAGGCCCGGGGTATGCGTCAGGCATTTCCCCTCCGTTATCAAAAAAAAAAAAAAAGTGGGCTGTAATGTCCCTCTCGCGGGCTGCCATCTTGTGGTGAGAGGGCTCCTCCACGGGTTGCTTGCGGAACGTGGGGGTCTAAGAGCAGCCTGTACGGACTCCTTCCTTACGGGGAGAATCTGTACACCGGGTCCGTCACCCCAAGGGGGCTCCTCTCCTCGTGGGAGGGACTCCTGGGAGTGTCGTCCCTTCGGGATGGGTCCCCATTGTGCCGGTAGGGATTGGCGGCCCTGACTTCAATCGCCCGGTGGCACGGCACCGTCAGGGGGAGGATTGCTCCCTTCCCGTGCGTGAAGTGGGGTTTCCACCCACACTGCGCGTGGACCCCCGTGGGCCCCCTCCTCTCCTCCCTGTGGGGTGGGGTGGTTCCCTCGGAGTTCTACGTGCGAAAGGGTCGACGCGGATGCTCCCACAGGCGAGCCGACCCATATGCTGGGTGCTCCTGGCTGCGGGCTGGCTCATGCCACTGGGTGGGTGGGGTCTCCGAGAGCTTCGGCTCATTGCACCGGGGGCTCCTCCCGCCTCGAGAGGTGCGGACGGGGCCGCGCGGACTTCGGTCTGTCGCGGAACCACCCGTCTCTCTCGAAGCAGGGGGTCGCGCGGCCGCTCGGATGTATTCCGAGGCAGGGTGCGCGATCTCCGCCCCCTCGGGGCCGCTCGGACGTATTCCGAGGTCGGGACCG